GGAAAGGGGGGGGAAAGGGATGCTTTTTTTAAAAAAAAGAAGAACGAACCCTTCGAGGGAAAATAGTCCTCGACTTACAACAGTTCGTGGAGTGACTGCTCAAAGTTACAACGGCACTGAAAAACTGTGACTTACGACCCTTTTTCAGACTTACGTCCATTGCAGCATCCCCATGGTCACCTTGGCTCTTTTATGACCTGTGGACTTCAACTCCCAGAATTCCTGAGCCAGCATGGCTAAGCTTGGAAACCTCTCCCTTTCCCCTCAGCACGGCTGGCTCAGGAACTCTGGGAGTTGAAGTCCACGGGTCATAAAAGAGAAAAGGTTGCCTACCCTTGGGCTAGATCAGCCATGTTGGCTGAGGAATTCTGGGAGTTGAAGTCCACGAATGATAGAGATGCCAAGGTTGGCCTAGAATAGACCAGGGGTAGGCAACCTGGGCTCTTTGATGACTCGTGGACTCCAACTCCCAGAATTCCTGAGCCAGCATGGCTCAGCTTGGAAATGTTTCTCTTTCCCCTCAGCATGGCTGGCTCAGGAATTCTGGGAGTTGAAGACCACGAGTCATAAAAGAGCCAAGGTTGCCTACCCTTGTCCTAAGTCCTCCTGTTCTAAGTGGTGAGACTCCTAGCCCAGGGGTAGGCAACCTTGGCTCTTTGATGACCCGTGGACTTCAACTCCCAGAATTCCTGAGCCAGCGTGGCTCAGCTTAGAAACCTCTCTCTTTCCCCTCAGCATGACTGGCTCAGGAATTCTGGGAGTTGAAGTCCACCAGTCATAAAAGAGCCAAGGTTGCGTACCCCTGGGCTAGATCAGCCATGTTGGCTGAGGAATTCTGGGAGTTGAAGTCCACAAATGATAGAGATGCCAAGGTTGGCCTAGAGTAGACCAGGAGCGGGGCCAGGGCCAGTTTTTGGGCACTCGGTCTCTAAAAGGTTCGCCACCCCTGGTAGAGGGTTTCCTGCCTGAGCAGGGGGGTTGGACTAGATGACCTTCAAGGTACCTTCCAACTTTTTTATTATTGTTATTTTTATTGTTATCGTTATTATCCAAAGCCTTTCTCTTTGGCTTGTAGTACCTTCCTTGCACTCCAAAGCCACCCTGGACTCCAGATTGTCCATCTGCATCTGGAGTCGCTTCAGCGTGAGGTCACTTTCCCGAGATTTCCGCTTGTAGGCGATCAAGACGGCCACGATGAAGATGATGAGGAGGCCGCCGGCCACGGCGATGCTGACAATGGCAGGCAGGCTGAGCGGGCTGTCGGAGGAGATGTTCACCATGCCCGGGGAGAACTCCATGCCTCCGACACGAGCCTGTGGAGAGAGTGAGGGATTTAAGCCAGTGTTTCTCAACCTTGGCTCCTTTGAAGAGGTATGGACTTCAACTCCCAGAATTCCCCAGCCAGCAAGCCCACTAGCTCTCACGGTCCACGCTGAGTGGGGAATCCTGGGAGTTGAAATCCATTCCTCTTAAAGGAGCCGAGGTTGAGAGAGACGGCAGTAATCGAACTTGCTAAGCTCAAGACCCGCTCCTAGCATTCACTTGTCTGGCTGAAAGATGAAGTCACTAGATCTCATGATCTTCTCCTTGCGAAAGATGAAATCACACACACACACACACAAACTAGACGCAAACATGTTTTTCTCTTTTTCTCTTTTCAATTCACATTTTTAAATGAACTTGTCGAGTTTTGTTTTGTCTCTGCTAATTTTTTTTCCCTTTGGGATTTTGTATTTTAAGCTTCTGAATAAAATAAAAAGTGAAAAAGATGAAGTCACTAGATCTCATGGTCCATGCTGGGGGTGGGGGGAATCCTGGGAGTTGAAGTCCATACCTCTTAAAAGGGCCAAGGTTGAAAAACACTGCGTTAGTCTCACTTGCTAAGGTCAAGTCCCACCTCTACATTCTCTTCTCCTTGTGAAAGACAAAGTCACTAGTCCTCATGGTCCCTGCTGGCTGGGGAATCCTGGGAATTGAAGCCCACTCCTCTCAAAGGAGCCAAGGTTGAGACAGACTGCACTAATCTCACTTGCTGAGCTCAATTCCCACTTCTAGCATTCTCCGCTCCTTGTGAACGATGAAGTCACTAGATCTCATGATTCAAGGGGTGATGGAAAGAACACGGGAACCTCACAGGTGAAATTGGAGGATCTAAAATATTAAGGATATTAAAACCGATACGAAAAGCGAGGCTCTTCCGTTTACTAGCAACACAGGAATAAGCGAAGAACAATAAATTATGCACACACAAAAAAGAGGAATCGTGTCAATTTGTTCTCTTTGCAGGAGATCATCGCCCTCCGGGTTCCAAGACATGAGTGACTGTTTTTTTTTCTTTTCAGGAAGCACGCCAGCAGATATTCCTTACCGTGACTTTATGCCGTCCTGTAAGATTTGGGGATTCACACAACAGTTGAACATCGGAGACGGTGACCGCGCAGGGCTTCTCCCCAATGAGCACAGTGTAATTCAGCTTGGCGTTCCCTCCAGCCACCGGTGGGGTTAAGTTCTTCCCCTAGGCGTTCTCTTTGGTGTCCCCACCTGCCACTCTAACCGTCGCACATGTAAATTAGTTAGTTAGTTAGTTATTATTTGGCTAACTAGTTATTCCCGACCTAGCTCCTCAGTCTTCTTTAACCTTCTTTCCCCATTAAAAGATAGTGGAGGGACATTGTGTCCCGAGAGAACCGTTGAAATACTGAACACCTGAAGTTGAGGGTGAATTCCCCAGCCAGCTATGCTGGCTGGGGAATTCTGGGAGTTGAAGTCCACACATCTTAAAATGGCGAAGGTTGAAAAACACTGCTTTAAAGACTTGTTCTCTGCCTTTCTGTCCCATTACCAGACTCCTGACTAATAACTGCAAGAGACAAGGCCTATTCTCAAATATACCCCCAAGCTACACAACTCACAATCCACTAGACACCCTTGCTTCAGCTTGTGTAGATGCCATTGCTTCAGCTGACTGAGGAATTCTGGGAGTTGAAGTCCACACATCTTAAAATGGCGAAGGTTGAAAAACACTCCTCGGAGGCCTGGAGGAGATCTCCCAGGCCTAGAACGGCCCTCCGGAAGTATGTGGATGTCCCTTCCGGAAGTCCGTTCTAGGCCTCGGAGGCCTGGAGGAGGCCTTCCAGGCCTAGAATGGCCTGCCGGAAATACATGGATGCCACTTCTGGAAGTCCGTTCAAGGCCTTGGAGGCCTAGAGGAGGCCCTTCAGGCCTACAACGGCCCGCCGGAAGTACGTGGATGTTACTTCCGGAAGTCTGTTCTAGGCCTCGGAGGCCGGGAGGAGGCCTCCCAGGCCTACAACAGCCCGCTGGAAGTACGTGGATGTCACTTCCGGAAGTACGTTCTAAGCCTCGGAGGCCCAGGCCTGCATCCACGCAGAGAACCGGTTGTTCAGGTATTTGAATCCCACCACTGCATATGGTTTATTTAACAGCTGCAGTGATTCACTTAGTAACCGCGGAAAAAAAGGTCGTAAAATGGGGCAGGACTACTTAACGACTGCCTGGCTCATCAGTGGAAATGTTGGACAAAGTTGAGCCCGCACGTCCAGGGCCCCCCTACCTTCAAGATCAGAGGGGTTCCAGGTTTCAGTTCCAAAATCCCGGGGGGACTGAAGGCCTCAAAGACAGGGTTTGGGTAGTAGGTGAAATTGGTCTTATTGAGGATCAGCAAGGAGAAGACGTTGTCCAAGACAAAGCCAAATTCATCCGGCCGTTCGGCAAGATCAGACTGGTTACTAGGGTCCACCGTTAATGCCGGAGCCTGGCAGACCATCTCCGTCTCGTTCTGAACTTCGCAGACCTGAAAACAAAGAACGGGGAAGGCTGAGGAGCAAATCCATACTTCATGTCATCCAACCTTAGAAAAGAGGAATGCATTGCGTCCGTCTCTACAATCGGCACCGCAAGGAGGGGGATCCATCCCCAAATCTGCACAAATATTCGGATGGAACGTTTGGGCTGTTAGTGAAGACCTGGTCTTCCTTGAAGTAAGTCAAATTCAAACCGCACACAGAGAGTGAGTCAAAGATCACCTACAGTAGAACCGTCTAAGAATCTCTGTAGTTCTCTGAGATTCCCAGGCCTAACTTGGTCTTAACAGAAGGTTGGAAAGGACCTTGGAGGTCTTCTAGTCCACCCCCTCCCCTGCTCAAGCAGGAGACTCTATACTATTCTGGACAAACGGCTGTTCTTGAAGACCTCCAGTGTTGGAGCACCCACAACTTCTGGAATGAAGGCCTTCCAGGGATTGATTCTTCTCACTGTCAGGAAATTTCTCCTTAGTTCTAGGTTGGATCTCCCCTGGATAAGTTTCCAGATGTCTTGAGGGACGTCCAGAAGGATAACAGAGATGGCGCTGATCTCCTTTTGGAGGGTGGGGGATGTTCCATAGGATGGGCACCTACAGATAAGGCTGAAAAAACTAAAGAGATGTTTCCCACCTTCCATTTTCTGCTCTGGGCACAGCTACCTCTTATCTGTCTGTTGTCAATAACAGAATGTCAGAATTGGAAGGGTACTTGGAGGTATTCCAGTTCAACCCCCTGCTCAGGCAGGAGACCCCATACCCTTCCAGACAAATGGTTGTCCAATCTCTTCTTAAAATCCTTCAGTGTCGTTGTAACCACAACTTCTGGAGGCAGCCCGTAGCACTGATTAATTATTCTCCCCATCAAGAAATTCCTCCTGTCACTCAAGGTCTTGAAATTTGCAATCAAAAGAGGACTTGATGACCTCAGGAGAGACTTGAGTGAGTCAAATTATCAACTCCTTGCATTCCTTAAAGAAACACACCTTCACACAGGTGTCCCATGCAGTGGAGACTTCTGGAAAAGACTTCCTCCTGAAGATAATAACAACAACAATAATAATAAAGTTGGAAGGGACCTTGGAGGTCATCTAGTCCAACCCCCTGCTCAGGCAGGAAAGCCTATACCATTTTGGACAAATGGCTGTCCAGTCTCTTCTTAAAAACTTCCAGTGTTGGAGCATTCACAACATCTGGAGGCAGGTGGTTCCACTGGTTAATTGTTCTCACTGTCAGGAAGTTTCTCCTTAGTTCTAGGTTGCTTCTCTCCTTGATGAGTTTCCATCCGTTGCTTCTTGTCTTGCCTTTGGGTGCTTTGGAGAATAGCTTGACTCCTTCTTCTTTGGGGCAGTCCTTGAGAGATTGGAAGACTGCTTTCATGTCCCCCCTCGTCTTTCTCTTCATTAAACTAGACATACCCAATTCCAGCACCCCTTCCTTATATGTTTGCCCCAACTTGTGGACACAATGCAGGTAATGTCAAAAAAAGGGGGGGGGGGAACAGTGCTAGGAAACAACCTTCTTCTTACCATGAGTAATTTGAAGTCCCACAAAAGGTGAAAACCCCCCTAGATGTTGGCCAGAAAACTCCCTCAGCCAATCAACATCCTACGTTTCTCACGTTCAGCCTTTGAGTATCCTATTTTTCAGTTTAATAACTCACATTGATGTGTTCTTTCCCACCATACTTGGCTCGGATCTGAGGGTTCTGGATGAGATCCAGGTTGGTGCCCCAAACTGTGACAGGTGTATTTCCACTGATGAATAAATAAGAAGAATTGAAGAAAAAAAAAGGGACAAAAATTAGCAGGAACCTTGCGACCCACCTCCATGGATGTTTCTCAAGGTGATTTATCAGAGGATGAATCAATCTGTGTCTCCCAATGAAACAAATTAAAAAATGAAATTCTGGCCAGCCACTCAAAATCAGTCCACTGTAAGCCTCATCCATTGGTTTCCACAAGAAGAGCTAATTCAACAACTTCCAAATGGTAATAATAGTATTGTTGATTCATTCATTCATTCATGGATTCATGCATAGAGTCATTGTCGTTCATTCATTCATTCATTGATTGATTGATTGATTGATTGATTGACATGATTGATTCATTCACAGATTCATTAATTATTCATTCATAGATTCATAGGATACATTCAGTCATTCAGTCAGTCATTTATAGATTCATTGACTGATTGGTTGATTGACTTGATTGGTTCATTCATAGATTTATGCATAGATGCATTGGTTCATTCAGATTCATTCATAGATTCATTGACTGGTTGATTGACTTGACTGATTCATTCATAGATTCATTGATTGATTGTTCATTCATAGATTCATTGATTCATTCAGCCAGTCATTCATAGATTTGTTGATTGATTGGTTAGTTGACTTGATTCATTCATTCATTCATTCATTTATAGATTCATTTATTGATTGATTGGTTCATTGACTTGACTGATTTATTCATCGATCGATCGATAGATTCATTCATTCATTCATTCATTCATTCATTCATTCATTCATCCATTCATCCATTCTCAGTTTGACCTATCAGCATACATTGCACTGAAAGTAGACCACATATATCAGGGGTCTTCAAATTTGGCCCTTTTATGACTTGTGGACTTCAACTCCCAAAATTCCTCAGCCAGGCACGTTGGCTGAGGAATTCTGGGAGTTGAAGTCCACAAGTCATCAAAGGGCCAAGTTTGAAGACCCCTGGATTAGAGGAAAGTTATGTTCTTGAATTTTAATGAGTTGAATGAATTTCTTGGTAAGGAAGGACGCTGCACAATACAAGAAGTCCTCAAATTACAACCGTTCATTTTTGTGACCCTTCAAAGTTACGACGGCACTGAAAAAAGTGACTTAGGACCGTTTTTCACACTTACAACCGCTGCAGCATCTCCACGGTCACGTGATCAAAATTCGGACGCTTGGCAACTGGCATGTACTTACGACGGTTGCTGTGTCCCGGGGTCACGTGACTACCTTCTGATGAGCAAAGTCAATGGGGAAGCCAGATTCACTTAACAACCAGGTTACTAACTTATTACCTGCAGTGACTCACTTAACAACCGAGGCAAGGAAAGTTGTAAAAATGGGGCAAAACTCACTTCAGGAATGTCTCACTTAAGGACAGAAATTTCGGGCTCAATTGTGGTCGTAACCCGAGGACTAGCTCCATAGTCAGGATGTTTGCTAAAGAAACTGAAACGGGTTAGGGTCCCCCGATGAAGAAGAGACCGTGATAATAAAAAGATGTTCAGGGTTTGCTGAAGTCTGCAAAACTTTTAATTGAGGCAAAATAAATAATAATAATAATAATAATAATAATAATAATAATAATAATAATAATAATAATAATAATAATAATAATAATAATAATAATAATAATAAAGTTGGAAGGGACCTTGGAGGTCATCTAGTCCAACCCCCTGCTCAGGCAGGAAACCCTATACCATTTCGGACAAATGCAGCAACGGATTGGCTGAAAGCTGGGGATTTTTACCAAATTGGAAAATCTGGAGCGATCCTGTCTCTCAAGTGCATTTGCTGTCTAAGAAATTAAAAAAACCTTCTTGTTTTTTTAAACTAAAAAAACATAAATATAGCCCAGGCTTGAATTTATTCCGCTGTAATCACCACAATCTGTCCTCTTAACAACAGAAAGCTCCTTCAGATAGATTTTTGAAATAAATCTGTTAAACAAGGGGAATGAAAAATCTTTTTAAACTCCGAGATATAATTAGGCGAAGAGACGTGTGAATTTCAGTTTAATCTCCATTTCTTATTTTCTCCTCGTCTTACCTTCGCTCAACCCTATATCGTTTTGCACTTTTTTTCTAAGACACCCCCCCTCTCTCAATTCATCTGCATTTTTACGCACGTTTGCCTAATATATGCAGTTTTAAAAGCTGTTTCTACTTACAGAACGCTCCTCGTACATTTTTTTTTTTTTAAAAAAAACCCTAATATATGCAAGGGCTGGAATGTATCTGTTCTTGGAATTTCACACCCTCGGCTCAAATGCTCTCAGGACGCATTTTAAAATGTGTATTTCGAAACCTAATTGGATCAAAAACTGGAAGCCCTTTTTAAATGCAAATTAATACAATAATGAGACCGAACGGATCTGGGGAAGGAGCACCTGTAAAAATATCATGGGTTGGGAGGGGGGAAAATGACTTCTCCGTTCCTATGTCTTTTCTATTCCAACTTCCTAGAACTGTGCAGATATGTTGAAGTTGTTCTCACTGGCTGGAGTGAATCTACTAGCTCGGAATTAAAAGAGTTTGATGAAGTAGTGCAAGCAACAGGGTACAAAAGTGGGAGACTGCCAGTTCTGGTCCTGGCTTAAGCACGAAGTTCCGTTATAATACCACTAATAATAATAAAGTTGGAAGGGACCTTGGAGGTCATCTAGTCCAACCCCCTGCTCAGGCAAGAAACCCTATACCATTTCGGACAAACGGCTGTCCAGTCTCTTCTTAAAAACTTCCAGTGTTGGAGCGCTGGTGATTTTGGACCTGTCCCTCTCCCTCAACCACTAAGAAAGGAGAAGAGCAAACGGTTTCTAAAAAACGTTGCCATGAAAATCGCAAAGGCTTAACTCTTGGCAATGTGGACAACACAGAGGAGGTGGAGGAAGTAAAGGAGGAGGTGGAGGTGGAGGTGAAGGAGGAGAAGGAGAAGAAGGAAAAAGGAGAGGAAGGGAGAAAGTAGAAGGGGAGGAGAAAGAGAATGAGAAGAAGAAAGGAGAAGGAGATGAAGGAGGAGAGGAGCTACAGCTGGAGGAGGAGATGAGGGAGAAAGAAAAGGAGGAGAAAAGAGGAGGAGGAAAATGAGAAGGAGAAAGGATGAGAAGGAGGTGAAGGAGAAGGAGGAGAAGGGGAAGGAGGAGAAGGAGTGAAGGAAGACGTGGAGGAGGTGGAGAAGGAGAAATGAGAAGGAGATGAAAGAGATGGAGGAGAAGGAGAAAGGAGGAGAAGGAGTGAAGGAAGAGGTGGAGGAGGTGGAGAAGGAGAAATTAGAAGGAGGTGAAGGAGAAGGAGGAGAAGGAGTGAAAGAAGAGGTGGAGGTGGAGAAGGAGAAATGAGAAGGAGAAGGGGAAGGAGGAGAAGGAGATGGAAGAGATGGAGGAGAAGGAGGAGGAGTGAAGGAAGAGGTGGAAGAGGTGGAGAAGGAGAAATGAGAAGGAGGTGAAGGAGAAGGAGTGAAAGAAGAGGTGGAGGTGGAGAAGGAGAAATGAGAAGGAGGAGAAGGGGAAGGAGGAGAAGGAGATGAAAGAGATGGAGGAGAAGGAGGAGGAGGAGTGAAGAAAGAGGTGGAGGAGGTGGAGAAGGAGAAATGAGAAGGAGGTGAAGGAGAAGGAGTGAAAGAAGAGGTGGAGGTGGAGAAGGAGATATGAGAAGGAGAAGGGGAAGGAGATGAAAGAGATGGAGGAGAAGGAGAAAGGAGGTGAAGGACAAGGAGAAGGTGGAGATGGAGGAGGACAAGAAGAAGGAGAAGGAAGGAGGTGATGAGAAAGAAGGTGCTGGCTGGGGAACTCTGAGAGTTGAAGTCCACCCATCTTAAAGTCACCAAAGTTGGGAAACATCAAGCAAGGGGCTGACTTCTGCTTCTGAGGGGGCTTCCTGTGGGCCACCATTTCTAACCAATGAAACATCATTGGGGTGAAGGCCACTCATCTGGAATGCCCAACGATCTGGAATCAACGGGATAAAGACGCTCTCCACCAGTTAACAGCTAGCCAACTTCCTTCGCCTCTCCCTACCTTCTTTCCTTGACATATTTCTCAACCAGCCCCACCCTGAGACGTGTCCCCCGTGAAGGACGCGTCCTTCCTCACGACCTCCTTACCTGACAATGCTCCATTCGGGCTCGATTCTCAAAATGTTTGGGTCCTCCACGTATTTGAACTTGAGCTCCTTGTGCATCTTAGCCTTCTCCAGCTCCTTGCGCAACGTGGCCTTGTCCACCTTCACGGTGACGTCCACCATGTTCTTCTCCAAGACGTTCCCAAAAGCCGTGGTGTTGCAGATGATGTGTTCTGCCGTCCTCCTGTCGGGAAAATGAAAGGAAGTTAAACCAGCTGTAGAAAATGTTGTAAGTCTAGTCCAAGGGTAGGCAACCTTGGCTCTTTTATGACTCGTGGACTTCAACTCCCAGAATTCCTGAGCCAGCCATGCTGAGGGGAAAGGGAGAGGTTTCCAAGCTGAGCCAGGCTGACTCAGGAATTCTGGGAGTTGAAGTCCACGAGTCATAAAAGAGCCAAGGTTGCCTACCCCTGGTCTAGGGAGATTCTCCATCGTCCAGGTCACCGTTGTCCCAAAAGTGCTTTCCCCCCCAAAAAAAGGCAACTGGATTTTGTTTTTCTTTGAAGACGTTTCGCTTCTCATCCTAGGAGCTTCTTCAGTTCTGACTGAATGTTGTCCCAAAGGTGTTTTTTTCAGGAGGCAACTGGACTCTCTTGTTTATCTTTGAAGACGTTTCGCTTCTCATTCCAGAAGCTTCTTCAGGTTCTGACTGAATGGTGGGGAACGGAAGGATTTATACTCCTTGCAGACAGCTGGTCATTTGCATCTTTTTAGAGAGTCGTTGAGGCCACTTGGAGGTTTAATCTGTCCCAAGAAGTCTCCACACCCATTTGCGCCACTCAGGTGACCTTGAGGACACAGATAAATCCATTAACCAGTGGAACAACCTGCCTCCAGAAGCGGTGAATGCTCCAACACTGGAGGTTTTTAAGAAGAGACTGGACAGCCATTTGTCCGAAATGGTATAGGGCTTCCTGCCTGAGCAGGGGTCGGACTAGATGACCTCCAAGGTCCCTTCCAACTTTATTATTATTATTATTATTATTATTATTATTATTATTATTATTATTATTATTATTATTATTATTATTATTATTATTATTATTATTATTATTAAATCTCTACTTTTGTGAGTGAGGGGGGGCATATCTAAATTTAATGTTTAATTAATTAATTCAGATAACCAAGCTGCACAGGCCAACGGGGGGGCTAGAAAGAGACACTTTCTCCCTCAACTGGCTTTGCAATTCTTGAGCTACAGAATTCCGGCTTTTACCGCTGATCCTCGACTTAACAACCGTAACGGAGCCCCCAACATTCCTGTTGCTAAGCGAGACGGTTGTTCAACGACCTTTGCTCTCTTTTACGACCTTCCTTGCCCCAGTGGTGAAGGTACCGCCGTTCAGCCGGTCACACGGTTGTTAAGTGAATCGGGCTCCCCCGCTGACTTTGCTTGCCAGAAGGTCGCAAAAGGGGATCAGGTGACACCCCCCCCGGGGATGCTGCAACCGCCGTAAGTACATGCCAGTTGCCGAGCCTCTGAATTTGGATCACGTGACCGTGGGGACGCTGCAATGGACATAGGTGTGAAAAACGGTCGTAAGTCAGGTTTTTCTGTGCCGTTGTACATTCTGATGGTCGCTAAAAGAACGGTTGGATGTCGAGGACCACCTGTATAGTCCCACGCCCTCTCCCGCCCCCAGCGGTGAAACTTACCGGTGGAAAAGACAAGGGTATTCGCCAAACATTACGGAAACGCTGCTTCCCGCGTTCAGGTTTTTGCCCGTGATCGTGACTTGCGTCCCGCCGGATATCGGGCCTTGCTTTGGCCTGAGGTCCGAAAGAGACAGCATCTGAGGAAAGGGAAGGAAAAAGAAAAGAAAGTGAAACGGAATGGGGTAGCGACACCGTGAAAGAGCGGCCGATGAAAAGAAAGGACCAGAGGTTGGTTCGTTCGGAGGACGACAGATCTGAGCTGGCATCCTCGGAAAGCTTTTTTATAATAAGACTGGAAAGTGTATTAGTTACCTGTTAGAGTTACCTTGAAGTAAGGTGGGAGGCCTAGTAGTTTTATGAATGGGAGGGAGGAAGGAGGGAAGGAAAGAGGGAAAGGAGGAAAGAACTAAGGAAGGAAGGGAGGGAGCAAAGGAAAGAAGAAGAGAGAGGAAGAAAGGAAGGAGGGAGAGGGAGAGAAGGAAGGGAGGGCGGGAGGAAAGAGGGAAAGAAGGAAAAATGGAAAGAAGGAAAGATGGAAAAAACTAAGGAAGGGAGAGAGGGAGCAAAGAAAAGAAGAAGAGAGAGGAAGGAAGGAAGGAAGGAAGGAAAGAACTATGGAAGGGAGGGAGCAAAGGAAAGAAGAAGAGAAAGAGAAGGAAAAGGAAGAAAGGAAGGAAGGAAAGAAAGAAAGAAAGAAAGAAAGAAAGAAAGAAAGAAAGGAAGGAAGGAAGGAAGGAAGAAGGAAGGGAAGAGCAGAAAAATGGAAAGGAGGGAGGAAGGAAGGAAGGAAGGAAGGAAGGAAGAAAGGAAGGAAAGAAAGAAAGAAAGAAAGGAGAAAGAAAGAAAGAAAGAAAGAAAGGAGGAAGGAAGAAAAGAGGAAGGAAGAAGGAAGGAAGGAAAGAAGGAAGGAAGGAAAGAAGGAAGGAAGGAAGGCTAAATTTTGCTTTATTATTGAAACAATGTCCTTTTTTGGTAATAGCTGGATGGCTGGATGGACGGATGGATTTAGCTTGATTTCTATCTCTCCCTCTCTCTTTTACATGATCTCTCTCTCTCTCTCTCTCTCTCTCTCTCTCTCTCTCTCTCTCTCACACACACACACACACACACACACACACACACAGGTTCTCCTGAATCCAACCCCAAAGCCACCTTCGGTTTCCATTACCTGAAAATAATAATAATAAAAAAAACCTTGCAGCAACCTGTCATTCTAAATAAATAAGGAAAGACTTCAATCCCTGTCCCCCCCTTCCTCTCTGCCTCTCAGCCCATCATCAAGATAACGTGTCCCCCCCTTTCCTTCCCCCCCCCACATCTTATTTAAGAAGCAAACCCATCTCTGTGATCCTGAAGAAACCGCCAGACATCCGGCCTTTTTTTTTGTTCCGTGAATAATCTGGAGTTGCTTTTTTTTCCCCCCCTTTCATTTGCATTTTAATAGAAAAACTTTTCAGCTGGGTCCCACGTGAAAAGCCGCCCCCTGCATTTAAATTAGGGGTTCACTCCCCCTTCCTGGTTCTCCCCCCCCCCCATTTCTCTCCAACTACTTTGGCAGAAAAGGTTGAAATTCTGATGAAGGAACCGCTAGGAGGAAGCTGGATGCCCTCTTGATCCCACGAAACCGGCCTTTCTCCACCTTGGTGACCTTTAAGCTGCGTGGACTTCATCTCCCAGAATTCCCCAGCCAGCATATGCCTCGTAGCTAAAAGAACCCAGCCAAATTAATGTCCGGTTCAACTGATTGGATGGATCCAGAAAATAGGTTAATTCAGTAATTGTGACCACAACTGTAATGCTGCAACGGTCGTCGGTACGAAACACAGACCTAAGTGACTTCACTGAGTGCTGTTGTCACTTCAAACGGTCACTAAATGAGCATTTTGATCATTGATTACCTATACCAGGGGTAGGCAACCTTGGCTCTTTTATGACTGGTGGACTTCAACTCCCAGAATTCCTGAGCCAGCCATGCTGAGGGGAAAGGGAGAGGTTTCCAAGCTGAGCCTGCTGGGTCAGGAATTCTGGGAGTTGAAGTCCACCAGTCATAAAAGAGCCAAGGTTGCCTAGCCCTGATATTCTAACTCTAAAAGCGAAAGGTAAAAGATACACTGAAAAAAAGATCACCCAATATTAATAATAATAATAATAATAATAATAATAATAATGATGATGATGATGATGATGATGATGATGATGATGATGATGATGATGATGATGATGATAGTAGTAGTAGTAGTAGTAGTAGTAGTAGTAGTAGTAGTAGTAGTAGTAAAGTTGGAAGGGACCTTGAAGGTCATCTAGTCCAACCCACTGCTCAGGCAGGAAACCCTATAACATTTCGGACAAATGGCTGTCCAGTCTCTTCTTAGAAACTTCCAGTGTTGGAGCATTCACCACTTCTGGAGGCAGGTGGTTCCACTGGTTAATAGTTCTCACTGTCAGGAAGTTTCTCCTTAGTTCCAGGTTGCTTCTCTCCTTGTCTAGTTTCCATCCATTGCTTCTTGTCCTGCCTTCAGGCGCTTTGGAGAATAGCTTGACTCCCTCTTCTTTGGGGCAGCCCCTGAGATACTGGAAGACTGCTATCATGTCCCCCCTCGTCCTTCTCTTCATTAAACTAGACATACCCAATTCCAGCAACCGTTCCTTATATGTTTTAGCCTCCAGTCCCCTGATCACCTTTGTTGCTCTTCTCTGTATTATTATTATTGTGTTTTAATGTTGCTACAGCCACAAGAAAGAAAGCTGCACAAGACTGCAGCAAAAATCCACCAAGTGATTATCACAGAATA